GGGGAACTCTAGAAAGGGAAGAGGGGCTGGTAAGGAAATGTTCAGTTCTAAGTCCTACAAAGTTTGCAGAGTAATGAGCCTCTTCAATCAGATTCATTAACTCAGCAACTTAGGGGTTTTTGCTCTGTTAAGTAGTTAAGCTACCCATTGAGGATATTCCCTTTCTGCAGCACTCAAATCATACACTCTGATCCAGGAAATCATGCCTGCACTTTGTATGGTTCCTCCTTTGCCAGTCAAGTGCAGCATCTGAAAATGCCATTCATGGCTCAGCCCACTAGGTCCCATGTCACTGGTCACAGACTAAGTGGGTGATGGAAGGAGTTACGGTGTGCCAGGCTGTGGCCAAAAGTAGCAGGCAAAGTGGGGGGATTAAAGTGTCTCTTTCTTTCCCATGTCACAGAATGGAAGAGGGGTCATATAGCCTAACACAATTAATGGTGCTGAAAATCAAGTTCCAGAAAGGTCTTCATCTGTAGGCAATATTTCTCATCGAACAAGGGGCTCTTATACCAACCTTTTAGTAAGCAAAGGACCGACAGGCAAATTGTCAGAAACATGGGCAGTGCTGGCGACTATCTTCCTTGTCACTGCATGCTTACTGTGGCTGCACATCCCAGTCTGTAGAAAGGAGTGAACGGCTTCCCTATGATTAATTTTCCTTCTACCTACATGTTTGCTAAATGATACAGGGTTCTCATGAATAAGTGAGGATAGCAGCTCTGTTCTCTTAAGAGCTTGTCATTTTTGTACCAGGCTTGCCACAGCTCTCTAACAATTGTGTCACTTCCTCACTGCATTTTTTTTTTTTTTTTTTTTTTTTTTTTTTTTTTTTTTTTTTTTTTGACAAGTGGGCTTGGAGTATGGCGTTGTATTCGTAAAAAAGGGCAGCACCTGTTATCTTATATTGTGTAAACTGCTTTCAGGAAGTAATGTGAATTCCTTACAAACTTGCATTACAACTAAAAGAGAGCTATTACTTTTCAAGTATAAAGATGATACTACTTGTTTTAGAATATGAGGGGTGGTTTGGCACTGAGCCACTCACACATTTTTATTATTTTTTCTTATACCAAATATTTAGTAAACAATTACTATTGCAAAAGAAAGTACCAGGACCAGGAATAAGACATTCTCATTCATACATAAGTTTACTTTATAAAGTGTTCGGGGAATATTAAAAATTCAGTCTGGGGGCGCCTGGGTGGCGCAGTCGGTTAAGCGGTTAAGCGTCCGACTTCAGCCAGGTCACGATCTCGCGGTCCGTGAGTTCGAGCCCCGCGTCAGGCTCTGGGCTGATGGCTCAGAGCCTGGAGCCTGTTTCCGATTCTGTGTCTTCCTCTCTCTCTGCCTCTCCCCCGTTCATGCTCTGTCTCTCTCTGTCCCAAAAATAAATAAACGTTGAAAAAAAAAATTAAAAAAAAAAAAATTCAGTCTGTTTTAACCCTTCCTCTGATGAAGGTAACCAAGAGTTACTGGCATCCAATTAATAGCCATGGCTTTATTCCTACTAACATTATGATCAATGGTAGAAAGAATAATTCTCAGCCTTAAGCTCCCTCTACTTTAATAACAGAGAAAATGGCTCATTAAATATTTTTATATATTCAGCTAAAGAGTATCCCAAGCAAACTTCATCATCCATGAGTCAGAAAGCGGACCACACTGACCTCTTGTTGTAGAAGCCTTGTTTACCCACATTATACTAAGAATTAATTTTCGTATAGCCGCTGAATATAACTGGTGTGAAAAATGAATAAAATGAATTATTTCTTGAAATTGTAAGTTTATTAGTTTCAACTGAACTATAAGTCTTAGTATTTCACCAACCTGATTCAGAAATATCCTTTAAGTAAAATAAAAGCTCATAGAGCTATTCACTCAATTTTTAAAAGGCTGCTTTATACCAAACCAATGCAGTGTGCAAATATAGAACTTAATTAAAATACTATATATAAAATATTAACAGCTGCAGTTATTAACATTGCATTAAACTCCCTTGAGCTAGGCCAACACAAAATGGACTCTCTTTTTTTCCACTTCAGTAAAGGGCAGAACTTGGTTTAGCTAACAAGCTTTGGTTTTTGTAGCGTTTGTCTCAATTCACTAATCTGAAATAGTAATCACATAAAAGTACTTTACCATCCAAACATCACCAAGCATACTAACTTTATCTTTCCTTTGGATTTCAACAAGAATCTGGTGTTTTATTTTCTTTCCTAATGCAAATTACACCTCTCCAGGCATGTCTCTTCCTCCCATACAGTATTGAACTTTCTAAATTAACACAAATATTCTCTGCGTTTGACCTTTCGCAATGAGGGGACAAACAGGGCAGTTAATAAACCATAGGCAATTTGGAAGAATTAAAGAACTTAAACAGGAAAGAAAAAGGTAAATTTTATTTGGCTTCAGGATTAAGGTATTTAACTGATCCTTATTGTAATAGGTCATCCAAGGAACTTGGGAAACTAGACTACATCATCACCTAAGACTAGCATAAATTATGATTATCAAATGAATAATGACTGGATTTATTTTCCTTTAATCTTTCTTATATATGCATATGTGTGTGTGTGTGTGTATACATAGCCCTTTATATATGTAAATATTTGAGATTAATTTAAAAATTTTATTATAGGTATATTTTAAGTCAAACTATATTATCCACAAGTTAATATTTCAAAGCACAAGATTAGTCAATGCTCCAATCCTCTTTTTAAGACTTCGGTTTGAAAGTTCCAAGTAGCCAGTCAACTGCTAACTTTGGTAGAAATAAGACAGGCTGGAGGACGTGAAAAGGAGGTACTCTATTGCTGTATTTCTGTATTCCCATCAGTGTCCACTCAGCTTAAATCAGAAAAAAAACAAAGAGACAAAAAAAAAAAAAAGGAATCTACTTTCTAATGGAATCAGCATAGTACAGTAGGAAAAAGAAAGAAGAGTTGTCTCCTCACAGTCATTTAAGACACTGTAGAGAAATGATAAAATAAGCACAGATAGCACACGATGGTAACTAATCTTCCATGTGGAGGGAGACCAAATTTCCTCAGAGGGATGAATCAGAAATAGTCTCTGAGATAATTTGAGGATCAGAGCAATGGGTTCTGACCTTCTTTCAATTTTCCACCCTCACCAACACCTCCTTCTGAATTCTCATTCATTCCCTTTCTTTATTTTATTGGGTTATATATGTAATATACATAATATAATATAATATATAACATATATATATTCTAGGAAGTCTGTCACATTCTTCTTGATAGATACACAGGAAAACGAGGCATGACTAAGAGTGAAACAGGACACAGTTCTGCTGCAGGGAGACTGGGAGTAATCAAGCGACAAGGGAGTCTGTGAAAGGAGCACTCACCACAGGGCTGCAGCACAGCCCTCCTAAAATAGGATGATGATCACAGATTACGAATCTGAAAGAAGCCCTAAGTGTCCTCTGGACTGTGGTTCCCATACTCAGCTGATCATTAAGTTCCTTGGAAAGCTTTGCAAAAGTATAGAATCCTAGGTCCTATCACTGTTAATCCTGCTTCATTGAGTTTAGGAGTCAGTCAATACTGGGCCCTTCCCAATATGTTTTATAAAGGAAGAAATTCAGACTCACAAGAAATGCCTTCGTCAAGCTTATATTCAGTGGAAAATCCAGAGTAGATGGTATGGTATATAAGCAAATAAGGAAATGCGGGAAGGGAAGAGAGGAGCGTTGTCTTCTTCCTCTTTTTAAACTTTTTTTTAACATTTATTTATTTTTTGAGAGACAGAGAAACACAGAGCATGAGCAGTGGAGGGGCAGAGAGAGGGGGAGTCACAGAATCTGAAGCAGGCTCCAGGCTCTGAGCTGTCAGCACAGAACCGGCCATGGGGCTTGAACCCACCAACCGTGAGATCATGACCTGAGTCCAAGTCAGATGGTTAACCGACTGAGCCACCCAGGTGCCCCAAGAGTTTCTTCTATTAGAAGAAGCTTATTTGATTTGTAAGTGATAAGAACAATCAGAGCATGGGAGCATAGGGTGAAGAAAGTAAAAGAAATAATATAGTTGTGCACCTGAAATAAGTTGCCTCTTCCCTTCTCCCTCTCTCTCCCCCTCTCCCCGTCTCTTTCTGGATTTCCACCAATGCTATTTCCTCTGCCTGGGTGATCCTTGCCCTCACAAACCTAATGGTAGTCAATTCCTTAAACCTCATAATCCACTCTCCAATTTCAGAGTAAGTAAATGTTATTTCTTCAGGCCTTCCCTACAACACTCCCTCCTTTCCCCAACCACGTGTGTGTGTGTGTGTGTGTGTGTGTGCATGCACACCTCCCTCCCCCCAACAGGCACGTGCATACACACACACACACGCACACACACACACTTCCAGGAAAAAAGTTCAGAGAAGGAAGCCAGAGGAAAGAATCCCTATTGGTTCAATTCAAACATTAGAAAGGGAAGCTATTTGGAAGTCAACAGAGTTTTGCCAGTGTTCTTGAAATCCTACTACGTTGATTAAAGTGTTTTTGATACCACAGACCCAACTTAGACAAAAGTTAAAATAAGGACTACAAATTACACTAAGGAATTTATATGTGGATTGCTGAATTTTCTTTTTTTCATATTTTGTATTTGCCACTTCAGGCACCTCCAAACATCCAATGATATAAGCAATAATTGATAATACAGGAACCCTGAATTTTGTCATTTTCAAATCCAAGATAAAATGTCTTGCAAGATTTGGCACTTGATTATCCAATAAATGTTCATTTGAGAAGTGATTCCAGAAGCCATTTGAGCATTTGGGGTTTGATGCCCAACTGTAATGATTAATTAGCTCCTTCTGGTTCTTATATGATATGAAACAGAAATAAAAACAGAAAATTTCCTTTACCCTAAAGACAGAAATGCAGGAAATCTTAATATATCTTGGTTTTAATTCCTTTGGAGTGGCAAGGGGTAAATAGCATGTTCCAGCAGATAAACAGGTTAGAAGAAACGATAAATTACCTGACCGTCCATCTCTCTGGAAGTCCACATGATACCATTCTCCATCATTCACCTTCTTCTGTAGGGCTTTGATTTTTATTGTACCTGACCCCATGTCCAAGAGGAGGTAGAGATGGCCATCCAGCATCTCAATAGCAAAGAAGTCAACCTTTATCATCTGAGGGTGCTTGGCATCTTTTTGGTGTCTTGGCTTGCCATGGCTAAATAAGATGAGGCCATTTGGCTCTGTTGTACGGAAATCAAATGATATGGAGCCTGTTTTCTTTGCATTCCATTTAGGCAAAGAGATGAAAGACTCTGGGGTTTCAAAGGTGATTGGGTCCAAAGTTGCAACATTCTCACATTTAAATGCTACCACTCCATGGATCTTCATCTTAGGGTCTCCTTGTTTGGCAAGACGAGATAATTCCAGTCTTACATCATTATTTTTATATACAACCTGTGGGCAGAGGATAGCAGTGAGAAACCAGGCCCATCTTTTCATATGCAGAACTTGTCTTCAGTTAAATGACTTTCAACACGTTTGTAACACATGTAACATAATGTTTAGTGCATTTTGATATATGAGATAGCTTTCTCAGCCAAATAAAAATCAAGTATCAACTCATTAAACAGTAACCATTCCAAACTAATTTCTTTCAAATAATGTGTGTACATACACATACAAACTGGCTGCAGTTAATTCAAATAATTTGAATGGATCTGTATACAGCTTTCATTATTTCAAGCGTGTATAGAGTCAAACTTACAAGACAATGGCTTTTCTTATGATAATTCATTTATTAAATAGAAAGGTTTTTCAGTTTTCCCACCACTAAAGTATTTGAAATTACTTTGTGTAACAGTCACCTAAAATACAGGAATTCTTCTATGGTCTACATAGTCACAATGCGTATAAACTTTGTAAGATAATCACAATAAATTGAGGCAGAAAACATACTGAATTTTCTCAGAAAAATCATTAAATACAACTAAAATGCAGAAGCTCTCTTTTTCCCTGTGGCCTATGTTAACAACTGTTTGAATAATGTTAGGTAACTCTGGAAATGTTATGTTTGCTCTAAATCCATTCAACCTGTACTACGTGTGTTCCGTTTCACTTTTTTTTTTTTAATTTTTTTTTTTCAACGTTTATTTATTTTTGGGACAGAGAGAGACAGAGCATGAACAGGGGAGAGGCAGAGAGAGAGGGAGACACAGAATCGGAAACAGGCTCCAGGCTCTGAGCCATCAGCCCAGAGCCCGACGCGGGGCTCGAACCCACGGACCGCGAGATCGTGACCTGGCTGAAGTCGGACGCTTAACCGACTGCGCCACCCAGGCGCCCCTGTTCCGTTTCACTTTAAAGTACACAAATGTAGAGCAAAGTTTGTCCTAACTCTCATTTCCCAAGGCACTTCATCTCAATGGGCTGGGTGGTTCTTTCTGACTGCTTGCTGATAGTTCTTATGGCTTTTTGGACTCCAAATGGTACACTGGACAAATCCACTGGTAGGATTCACAATATCAGGCATCTGCTATCACATCACCTTAACAAACTCGAAGCCATTCTGACATTAAGATAAAGAGAGATCCATACCCTTTCTCTATAAACTGCATACTAAGCATAATTACATTTCCAAAATACACGTCACACTGACTTAAGAGTAAATTAGCTATCTATGTCCAGTTAACTATCTAAATTATTTTAAGAAGCCATTCAAGAATTCATAGCAGCGAATACTGACAAGTTCTAAATTCATTTATATTTATATAATAGAAAAAATAAGACAGCCTGTGTCTGATTAGTGCTGTAAAGTTAACAGGTCAATATAGCAAACCTGTGGCAAAACTAAACTGAGCCAATGGTTAGTGTCGCTAATGAATTTCCTGATATAGTGTGTTAATGGATATTTTATTTTTCAGAGTAAGAGTGTAGGCCTTGGTATCAGACTGAGTTCAAATGCTAGCTCCAGCATTACCTAACTGCATGATCTCCCCAAGCCTTACTTTTCTCCCTTTTAGGGAGATAGCATCTTACAGGATGATTGTAATGGTTAAAGAAGAAAATGTATGCAAGTGAGAGAATCTACATAAAGGCAATCATCCAATGCCAGGCCCATTGTAAGATTTCAATAAATATCAACTACATCAAACTGCATGATAATAAATACCATCATCTTGTAGACACAGAAATAATGGTGGTAAATTAATCTATTATAAGGAAATGTTTAGAAATTAAGCACATACTTGGGACGCTTGTGTGGCTCAGTGGGTTAAGCATCTGACTCTTGATTTCTGCTCAGGTTTGTGAGTTCGAGCCCCACATTGGGCTCTGACAGGTGGAGCCTGCTTGGGACTCTCTCTCTGCCTCTCCCCCGACCCTCTCAAATAAACTTAGAATGAAAAAGAAATTTGGCACAAATATATAATTGGTATTTTATACCTGATTGGTGCCTACCAAATAAGCCGCATCTTTCCAATGCTAGTCCCATTTCGGTGTACCTTTATCTTGAAGGAGGATTATTATAAAGAATAACATACCAAATTATTCTTTGAGAAAATATGTATAACTGTTCAATAAGTGTAGATTGACAACAAAAGAAGAGAAAATGGACTTAAGCAATAACAAAAAGGAATTAGATTAATTCTTCAGTATACTTTCTTGAAGAGAGGAAGAGCTATTAAGCCTTGGGAAAGTTGATTCAAGATTGTCTTTCTTTGGGGATCTTTAGAAGTGGAGAAAATGGTTTCCATGGATGACAGTCCCAAGTTTTATAACCTCTCACCATGACTTTCAAGCTATCCAAGCCTGTATTTTTTTCACGTTTCCTGGTAATTTATATTTTATTATCTGGAGATTCCCTTAACAAAGGTAGTGATCAGGAACGAGTATAATATTTTCTGACCCAATTGATGCAGATGATAAGGTTGACCTATGCTAACACATTGCCCGTGAAATAGAACCACTGCCACAGAGTTGGGTGTTTCTGACGTGAGTAAGTAGGTATATGAATGCATATACTGCCTCATGAGTCCAAAATCAGCTACCAAAAACTGAAGGATGTGGGGTTGGGGCAATTCTAGCTACAGATTTCAGCAAGTGATTTACAATCTCATGAGTGAATTGGATACCCCGGGGAAAGGGAGGTTCGAGAAGATGGAGAAGAAAAGCAGGGATTCCCATGATCATATAACTTAGGGTTAGCCATGCACACACACACACCTCCTCCAACTCCTCCCTACCCCACCAAAAAGATGATGGATCTCCACCACAATCTATGCTTTGGGCAGACAGGGTCCCTGCTCACCATAGCCAAGCACCAAGATTAGTACCTGGCACAAAGTAGACACTCAATAGTTTCTAAGAATTGAATAAAATTCTTCCTTCACTTTTTAAACTTAGTCCCAGATTATAGACTATCATTAACAATACTTACAAATGCAGTTAAGTAAAGCAGAATATGGTATTGCAGACCAGTCTCACACACTCGCTGCTATTTTGAGCGTATTTCTCCAGAAAATGTGGAAACTTCTGTGCATGTTCACTTATAAATGGTAAGCTGGTTTATGTATTGGAAAACTTCACCTTCAAACTCATATTGTAGGGTTTAAATTACTTTTTGAATGAAAAACACCCGAGTTAAAATTCTCCAGAGGTAGAATCATTTTCCTGGAAGAAGTATCTTGAGGAGAAGCAAAATGATGTTTTCTTTCTTTTTTTTTTTTTCCCCTTTCCTATTTTGTATTCTTTGAAAGGCAACTCCAGAAGACAGAAAAGCAATTTTGGATAGGCAGGCTGATAGCTCTCAAAACTACACTGCTCCTTCATCTGACCCAGATTCCATAATCACCCTACTTTTTGAAAGTTAGGCTTACTCTTAAAATGACCTGAATGTAGTTCAATTATAATAATAAGTAGACTGCAAGCACTCCAAATTTTCCAAAAATTCATGTGTAAGCTATTTTTTGCTTCTTTCTGAGATAATATGGCTCTCGATAATTTATAATTATTCATATATCTTTTTAATTTATGTCAAAAGTTGTAACTTATTTAATAGTTACAACTTTCAAAAAATATCTATATACTCTAACGTCCTGACAATTAGATGATATTATTGCACATTCATTTGGATCAGTTCATAAAATCAAGATTTCTTTGGGGATATTGATTTTTCTTTTTTTTTTTTCTTTTTGAAAAGTAATTCAAAATGTTGCATTTCATTTCTCTGCTTCATGGGCTCATATCATAAATCCCACAGGGATAAAAACATAAGAAACACTAGGTTTTTTGTTATTTATTTGTTTATTTAGCTGCCATATAATTTCCACATTTTGATATGATGACCTTTTCCTTTCAACATTTGTTAAAATTTTAAAACTGTCCCTCACACTTAAATATGCAAAAATAGAAGAAATATGTTTGTATTTTTATATCCCTAGGTTTGGATTTTGAGGTAAGCTGTCACTGAGTATTTTATTTGATCTTGATATCAATCTTTTTTAAAAAGGGAAATAAATAGGCTAAAAAATAAAAAAAAATAATAGTAAGTTTGAGAGTCTGGGTATAGACTTGGCTTAATCACAAAGCTAGTATCTAAGTTCAGTTGCCTATCCTCTCTATCTCTCAGTTTCTTAATTTTATATATAAAACATATATATCTGAAAAGGAAAAAAAACATGTCATGTCTATAAATCCTTGAGCCTCCACCCCCCCACCCCGCCACCCCCTGTCAATCTATGTGATTTGGGACAAAGGTAAAAGATGTTCTATTGTTCCTTCTCTTTTTCTAGCCTTTTTCCAGTTGTGGTTTTGATGTCAGGATATTGCTCTCTACTCGGGGATATAATGAGACACTAATCCGTTAGGTAAAGGGAATATACACCTACATCTTTAGGTACACAGACACACATCAAGCATCATATGTATCTAAGGTTTGTACAGATGGTCCTGGAGAACTGGTGGCTGATAGATAAGGTCCTTCCACAGGAAGTGGCAGTGTGTGAAATAAGCAGATCAGTAGGAAAACATTTGCTACTCACACAATGACTTTTTGTTGTTACAAATAAACGTTTCAGCTTAGAAATTTTCATGAGGCTCTTGAATTAATTAACATGCACTGATCAAGGCAGTTAGTGTCTTAACTATGAGAGTATACATACAGGGTGATGAAATGGGTACCGAGCTTAAAATCAAGGAGTGATGCAGGGATGTAGACTCAGTTGTGACCTCCCTGAGAACTTGAATGGCTTATTCTAATCTGAGCTTGGATTCTCTTCCATTCTTGAGAATAGTAACAAAGAAGGGCCAAGAATTTGGTTCTCACGATTTCCAGGGGAACTGCAGCTCACCCACTTGCAATCCTGTGACCTTGCCCAAGTCCTTCAATCCCACAGAGACTCAGTTTAATCTGTAAAATAGAATAATCATATCTACCACATTAGGATCATTGTAAAAAA